TGACCACTGAAGCAGAAACAAGTGCCTGTTTTTGGATGTGCTCATTGCACCTGTTTTCTGGAGCCTCTGGGTTCAGACATCGATTCCACAACTTCAAGTAGATGAGCATCTTTGAATCTGCATGCAATTCCCACAGAAATGTGAGAAGTCACATTACCCAGTATCTGGCTTTTTGCTGTGGATGATCCCCTGGGGATTACATTTCTAGGTTCAGTTCCCATCAGGAGTTTCTGAGCTTTGGGTGATCTCCATTAAAGGATCTTCCTGTGGCTATTTGTGGAGCTATGCCAAAGTGAGCCATAAACATTGTGGGTTCTCCGCTGACCAGGAATGAATACAAGAGGATTGCCTGAAATTCCACCTGCTCCAGGAGCTGCTAATTGGTCAGATGAAATCAATTAACTGTCAGTGATCATTCTCTTGCTCAGAAACAGGATTTTGTGACTCCTGCATGTTGTCAGCAGGCATAAAATTCCCCTAAGAGTGACTGACACAGATTTCTGGGATCTACCCATAGTCTTGAGTTGGTAGGTCTCAGGTGTTCATGCCTTGGGAATTTGCATTTTTAATAGGCCTTCCAGGTGATGCTGATTCTGTGGTCCCAGAACCCGTGGGCCAAATGTACCTCTCGTTGGTTGGCGCTGTATTGAGCTGGGGATGCTATCTGAGCTGGGATCAAACTTCCCTGACTCCTCTCAGCTGTTACTAAAATGGTCCATAAACTGGCTTTTCCAGTTTCTCTCTCTGTAAACGCCAGCTCCACATTTCCAGTTTCCTACTCCAAGATGCAGACATCACTCAGGACCCCTCTCTTCCTTTGCTCCCTACGTCCAATCCATCAGCGTGGATTCTGTCCACACCATCTTCAAAATATTCCAGATCTGGCCCTTCTCTCTGCCAGCACATCCTACTACCAAGCACCGACTCGTTCCCTAAGGACCCTACGTCACATTATGTCCCTCTCCTCTCAGTCCTCTGGCAGGTGAATGCCTAACCCTTCCTGTTGTCTGTGAGGCACTAGGAGAACTGGCCAGAGCTACCTCTTTGTCTTGTCTTGCTGCCCTTATGCCTCCCCTGTTCCCTCCACTTCCAGTCCCTCCTGGTATTCCTGCCTCCGTGTAAAGGGCCAGGAAGGACCACTGAGCAGGTTTTCTATGATCCAGCAGACCGGGTAAAGGAGGAATCGGAGTCCTCAGTAGTTTTGAAGGTTTTCATTAGGATTACCAGGTATATGGCAGGCAGGGGTGTTGGGGGGCTGGGAGGCTGGCAGGCCTCCCAGCCCCCAGCAAGTCTTCACTCCGGCCCCTCCACCCTTCTCTCTCTGCTTCTGCTGCTTCTTTCTCAGCTTCTCTTTTGGCTTCTGTTCGTTCTTGGCTTCTGCTGACATTCCCGTGACGCTGCCCTTAAAAAGTACAGTCTTAGCCCAGGTGGATCTCATCTACCTATGCCCACACCCTACTCCAGGTGCCCGCCATCAGGCATGCATTCAGGACCGCAAGGATCCATCTATCCTGATGGCGGAAGGGCAGAAGAGCCTGACATTTTTCCTTACCCTACAGTCCGTTAACCTCCCCTTGCCAGCTGTACCCAAAGGTCATCTCTCAAGGTCTTTCCTGACTGTGTTACTTAAAGGCGCAAAGTCACCTGCCCCCTCTAGCCCTTTTCTCCTTCTCTAAAGTTTCTGCATAGCTTTTGATGCCGTCCGCCATACTAAATACTCCATGTTTGTTGACTGCTGCTCACGGGAAGGTAAGAGTCAAGACAGGAATTTCTATCTCTTTGTTCCCTGCTATATTCCTAATTCCTAGGCCAGTGTCAGGCCTGTAGTGAGTGCTCAATAAATATATGTTGAATTATTGAATGAAGATTACAAGAGGCATTTACCTTTCACTTAACAAGCTAACATTTTAAGTGTGCACCATTTTAAGTGTGTGCCTATTTGTGGATGCAGGCACAAAAAAGGGATCCTGCGTTCTCCTGCTGTGGAGTAACCAGCTTTCCTGTCGTGGCTGGCACTATGTTGGAAGACAGCATGTGTTCTTGGCTCAAATTCCATCCTGAGAATAGAGTATTCCACAAAAATTTGTTTAAAAACATCCCCACGCCAGCTTACCAATAACGAATCCATTCTAATCATAGCGTCAGTCTCATGTGTGGGAGCCAAACCATTATTTTTCAGAAAAATGCAGTCTGCATGCCAGTCAACTTTGAAAATCTGCACAGTTGCATTTCTTAGTTGCTGGCTGCATTGCTTTGCTCCTCTTACTCATTAAAAAGCTGTGCCCATCTCTATTTAGCGAAATTAGCCTAGTTCCCCACATCTGTGTCCTCTTCTCCCCTAGCCCATAGTTCACTCTTAGAAACAGGAATTTAGCTGAGAAAAGTCTTTCCTCGACCAGTTAGAGGGTATATAATAGAAACTATGTCTTTAATTTTGGATCAGAACAGGGTTAGAGTTTGGTTTTATTTTTACCTGAATTTCCTGAAAATGCTTGTTGTCCTTTACACCCGAATCCGATTGCCTTCACACCTTGGTGCTCAGTCATTAAGAAAAAAATATGGTCTCTGGCAAGGGAGGTGTGAGAAGGGAGTCATCCTGAATTTACAGATTGAGGAAAGTGAGTGCATTTCTGTGATTTCTGCAGAGCTGCCTGAGCCAGGGGGCGATGGAGCCTTAGAGCTTGGGAGCCTCTGACACCCCAGCCCTCTTGAGTTGGGTGGGGGAGTCCTGATGGCAGCTGCCACCATATGCACACTCACGCACTTGTAGGCATGCCAGTCCCTCCTGGTGCATGCCAGTCGCTCTTAGTTGTGACTGTCAGCTGGAGAAACCCAAGACTGACAAATTTACATTTTTTTAAAAATTCAAACTTTTTTCCGGAGCCCAATGGTAGACTGGTATGTAGCTTCTCTCACGGCATCCTCTATCATTTTTCAATCATTATTCACTTTTTTTTTCTGGCTTGAGTTTTATGGCACATTCCTGTTTTTAAAAATGTTCAGGGTTGTGCCTAATTTTCTATTTTTATCAAGCTGGAATTTCTCAGCCAAGTCATCCAGGCGCTCTACCAAATCTTGTCACCTACTTCATTCTCACTTGAGTCAAATGATCTGTCCTGCCTCCCCTCTGCCGCCCCGCCCCAGCTTGCTGCCTTTTAATTTTTTTTTTGGACTTAGTGCTGTGGTAACTTTGGTTCACAGCACCACATAGGATTCAGAGGTATAGGGTCCTTCCTCTTTAGATGTGTGCTTCTCCAGGATTTGTACTGTCCGGTACCACCCAGAAGTTCATGCTCATGCCACTCTCGCTTCTTGGACTTTTTTATCAGTGTGCTGCAAAATCCATTTGGATAAGCTCTGTATTCTTTTACTGCTAAGCCTGATTTATAAAGTATGACTCAAACCTCACTTGCTGAAGCCTCCACTGATTAACCCTAAATACCTGATCAGACCCCAACCCAGCTTTTGTGATAGATGTGCGTGCCTTCCACGGGAGGGCAAAAATGCAACAGAAAAGAATCCGAAGCCTGACCTCCAGGGTTCAAATCCCAGCTCTGCCACTTACTGCCTGTGTAACTTCAGGAAAGAAATTTTAATATGTGCTTCAGCCTCTTTATCCACACAATGAGTATAAAAACAGTCCCTGCTCTTATACAAATTAAAAGTTAAAAAAGTTGAAGTTCATAGAATAGTGCCTGGCATACTTTTAAGTACTATTTAAATATTACCTCTGTTATATTTTAACATACTGTTGTTACAAGTTTTTGTGCTGGTTATCTTGTTACATATCTGGTGCTACATCTTCTCACCATTGTTTTTTTTATTCTAGAATATTGGGTAGACATTGATCTTTCACTTTTGACCTTTCTCTCCTCCTTCACCCTTGTCAGACTTGGATCTGGTACACAACTTTTTCGTTTTCCGTAAGGGGGGGATGTGTATCTTTCTTGAGAGCTCCCAGTTGACAGCAGTAGCAGAGTCTAGTGCTCCAGTTCCCTGTGATCCCTGCTTGGTCAATTGCTCCTGAGGATGGAAGGCAGAGGTGTACCAGCCGCTCTGCCTCCTGGTGGCGAGTGTGGGAATGGCACCTCCCTCAGTGTCGGGCACCTCCTTTTTTAGCTCTTGTCCTTCAGGCCCTTCTTCCCAGCTACCCTCATTCCCCCATTGGCCATTTCCTTTATTGACAAGGGTGTAGGCTCCAATTCCTTTGTTTCTCTGTAGCACGGAGGACCCACTTTTCTTAATAGTCAGGGTAAGTGGAGGTAGAAGGGACCAGTACTGGCCCTTTGAGCTTATCCTATCCCACTGTGGCTTCCTAGCAGAGCTGTGACTGTAGCCAGGTTCTCCTCCACTGCCGGAAGCTCCTCTTAAGCCAAATAGAGCACTTTAACAGCTGGGTTCCCAGTTCCTTTCCCCTCCCGCTCCACTTCCTCCCTACATACTTTTAAACAAGTGTATTCTTTAAGATCCTCTCAGGAAAAAATACCTTCTGGGTAGTAAGACAAGTTATCTGCTGTTCTCTCTAAGTGCAGGGTTACCTAGGAGAAGACAATGATTAATATGAGGCTACATTTGCTAGTTTCTCTCTGTTGTCCTCTTAGGAGGTCATTAATGTTAGATTGAACGATAAAAAGTTGCTGATATTTGACCATCCTGACTCACAAAATGGCAGCATCGTACAGTTCAGCCTAACATGGTCTCAGTGCCTGGCTTGGTTAGTGTGTCACTTCACAGAGGTGCAGCCTCCTCTGAGTTCCCCAGCTGTGCAGTGAGATCGGATGGGAGCAGCCAGCAGGATATCTTGCCAGAAGACAAAGCAATTCCCCTGGGTGGAATGTTATTCCTGTCTTTTAAACATCAAACACCCATTTTTTTTTAAACCATGTGTTCATTACAATCAGAGCTGGTTTTATGGAGCAGATGCAATGTCCCTGAAGGAATTTAGTGGCAGTGGTGCTGGAATCACAGTCTTTTCAACACAAGTCTATTTTACTTTCCAGTCTTCACATATAATTCTGCCAACAAGGAAACCTGCGAACACAACCACGGACAGTGCTCCCAACATGCTTTCTGCACTGACTATGCCACCGGATTTTGCTGCCACTGTCAGTCTAGGTTTTATGGAAATGGGAAGCACTGTCTGCCAGAAGGTGAGTGGTGCAGGCTTGGGGGGCTGCTGGTTTGCTTCCCACCTTACACTATGAGCTATGCTTGTGGACCTTGAGTCACCACTGCTTGAATTAAAACACCGACAGCCTGGAGTGCTCCATAAATGTGTGAGGGATGCATATGTTTGCACTGATCTCCCACTTTAAGGAAGAACCAGAAATGGTTCCTCCTTTTTGCCAGTTCACTAGAGTTAGCCTGGATGGGACAGAGGGAGGAGAGGAGAAAAGAGAGCCAAGACAGGTGTGTTTTGCTGATAGATAATTGATTGGTTAGGGAGTCGGGCAAATGACTGGCTGAAGATCAAGTATGGGGAGTCGTCAGTGAAATGATCTGCTTGTCCATCCCCAGCCCGATGGTGCTCAAGGTTTACCTGACTCACTGTCTTTTAGGGACACCTCATCGAGTCAATGGGAAAGTAAGTGGCCACCTTCTCGTGGGCCACACGCCCGTGCACTTCACCGACGTGGACCTGCATGCTTACCTCGTGGGCAATGATGGCAGAGCGTACACGGCCATCAGTCATATCCCACAGCCTGCCGCCCAGGCTCTGCTCCCCCTCGCTCCAATTGGAGGCCTGTTTGGGTGGCTGTTTGCCTTAGAAAAGCCAGGCTGGAAGAATGGCTTCAGCCTCACAGGTGAGTAGCATCTCTGAGTGGCCGACAGCATAGGATGGCTGCCATGGCATTGCTCCTGCAGGAGGCGGAGGGCCCTTTGGGTTTTTATTTGGTGAAAAAGGGTTTACTTGTTCAGCGTTCTAGGGCCACAGGTGTGACAGTTCATCTGGAGGTAGTTGGGGGATGGTTTGGCCTGCAGGACAGTTTTTCAAAAAGGTTAATTTCTCCTAAATATCTGAGAAATAAGACGAATTCATTTGCAGCATTTGTGAGCTCACCCCATTTTGTTGCAGCTTGTTTGTCACTTTGTTTAATTGAATTATTATGCTACTATGTTAAATGAGGGTGCAAAAATGGTAATTAGAGGGCACCTGGACTCGGTTTCCTTTCTCAGGAAGAGGGATTTTACTCTTCTCTCTCCACTATGTCTCTGACCTCTAATCATAGAGGTGCTGCTTAGACTTTAACCTGCACACAGATCACCTGTGCTCCTTGTGCACATGCAGTTCTGTTTCAATAGGCCTGGGGTGTGTGTGTGTTTCTGCTTTTTCCCGGCAGCACCCAGAAGCTATTAATGCTGATCTAACAAGTTCCCTCCAAGAGCAAAGGTATAGAGGATAGTTTCCTAATGAGTTTATCTTTTATTGCACATGAAAAAATATGCCGAGAGAAGTTTTTCTCCTACCTCCAGCAGTAGATTTCAACTGTTGTTTGTGGAGTCTTGCTTTTAATCATTTGAATAAAACCTTGGGTCTAAAGTAGATAAATAGAAACACCCAGTAATATATGAATTTCAGATACACTTTGGTTACATTCTAAAGTACTATTTTCTAAAATGTAAGGGGCATACTTATCCTAAAAACATATTTATCTGAAATTGAAGTTTAATTCAGTGTCCTGGTTTTGTTTGCTTGTTTTTGCTAAATCTGGAAACCTTAGCAAAATTTCATGGTTGTTACCAAGAGTTTATTTCTCAAAGAAAACAAATTCCTACAAAGAGAAGTGTGAGATGAGACAGGAGAAAACCACACTCTTTAATTGAAAATTTGGGAAACCTACAAAATCAACAGCTGATAGTACTTAGTCTTGGATATCAGTTCATCCCCTCAGGCACCATCTCAACAGTGCTAGAAATTGTGGGGAGGAAGTATGCTTTGGTAGTTATTACTGGAAGATACAAGACCACTTGTACCTCTTACTGGAAAGTTTGCCCCTGAACTGATTTTTTTTTTTTTCTTCCTCAGGTGCTACCTTTACCCAAGACATGGAAATTATTTTCTATCCAGGGGAAGAAAAGGTTCAAATCACTCAAAAGGCAGAAGGGCTTGACCCTGAGACCTATTTGAGCATTAAAACCAACATTCAAGGCCAGGTGCCTTACATCCCAGCAAATTTCACAGCCCAGATAGCTCCCTACAAAGAGCTTTACCACTATTCGGACTCAGGTATGTGTGCTCCCCTTTTCCATCTGTAAATGGGGGCAGCACATACTCACAGGAGAGTTATAGGTTTATTGAGTTACTTACTTGGGATTCTAAGTTACTTAGAATGGTGTGTGTACATAACAATGAGCTCAACATCATTTTTTGTATTACCGAATACACAGGGTTAGAAGAAGCCTGGCTGCCACAACGAAGCATATCAATATTCTACCCAACACTTTCAAATAATAATGTAATCAATAGCTTTGTCAATGGAGGGTGGGTAAGGATGGTGTAGGGTGATGGTCAGGCTTTTATGCCGCTGGACTCTGTGGCCATCAACTGCAGTCTTGAATGCAGAAGGCGCTGGGGTGCGTGGGCGCGGGGCACGCATGCCTGATGGTGGACACCTGGAGTGTAAGTGGGCACTCCTGGGCCTGGAGGCAGAGGCTATAAGGGCGGCGTCGCACAGAAATAGCGTGAAGAGAATGGCTAGGAGAGGACGAGAAGATGCAGAGAGCCCAAAGAGAAAGAGTAAGGATTTGCTGGGGGCTGGGAGACCTGCCAGCCTCCTGGCACCCCTTTCCCTGCCTTGCCAGCCTGCGGGCTTGCCCCACAACAGTAGGTGTGGAAAGAGGATTAAAGCCTGAAAAAGCCAGTGAGGGCTCCAGGACTCGCCTTTGCCCTTCTGCCAAAATGGATAAGAACCCGCCCTGTGCTTGCTGGCACAACAGATGGTATAAAAATATGTAATCTTTAGCCATTCTACTTTCTGGGCCATGGAAGAAATAATTGATTGTTGGAATTTACACTTACATGTAACCTTGTTTTAGCTTCCTTTTTAAAATCACAGAAAGATGCTGCACGACATTATGAAACTAATGTTAGCGTTGGTGTCAGAAAGTAGTATAAGTGCATATCTTAAATGTTTAAAATAGGTGGGAAAAGGTCACTCATCTGAGAGCCTTTTTCTACCATTAGGATGAGTGTAACACCTTCCATCTACCTGACGTGGCTGACACTGTAAATTGAGGTGCCTGTAAAACCTTCCTGAAGGCAGGACACTGCACAGCCCCGGGTGCTGGCCTGCGGCACAATGCTTCGCTGTCCCTTGCCTTCTGCTCCTTGCTGTCCGACAGTGAGAAAGCTGGCAGCCGGCAAGAGATGCAGGGGCGAGAATGGGTGGAGAGAACTGGAGGCTGCAGGAGCAGCTGAGGGTCCAAAAAAACGGGCCAGACATCCCAACTCAAAATAGGAGAAACCACCCCTTCCTTTCCCTGGAAACCTTCAGACCTGAGGGCGGGAGGTTGGGAGTCATCAACCGCTGTGCAATGTGGAGAGGATGCATTGATTAAAAACTTGTCCTATAGAGTTGGGTTGGCTTGAGTTCAGTTCCATCTCTACCACCTAACAGCCCAGTGCCTTGGAGGACTTCGCAGCCCTGGAGGATTAGTGCATACCATTACAGGGCCACCTCGGGGGCGGTGGTGGAGAATAAATAAGGCTGGGTATCCAGGGTGTTCAGTGTGACTCAACACTGGTGTTCATTCTGCTCAGGTTCTTGGGATTGCCTTGCAGGTTGCCCATATAAACTGGTTAACTTCCCAAGGGAATTAAATGAAAAACTGCAGAAAAGCTGACCATACATGAAAACCTCTAATATTTAAATTTACCAGTTTGGTCACATGATGTGTCTGTTGCAGTGGTGACCTCCACAAGTTCCAGAGACTACTTTCTCATATTTGGTGGCATCAACCAAACACGGTCCTACCGCATCCGACAGAACATCACTTACCAGGCGTGCCGCCATGCACCCAGGCACCAGGCCATCCCTGCCACCCAGCAGCTGAGTGTTGACCGGGTCTTTGCCTTGTACACTGATGAAGAACAAGTGCTTAGATTTGCTGTGACCAATCAAATTGGCCCTGTGGAAGGTACACTTTCCTTTTTTATTTTTGTTGGGCAAAAACACCAACGCTCCTTTCTTCATTCCTTTTTGAATAGCCTCGGAATGATTCTCAGAAATTTTGAAGGGCTACTAAGTGCCAGGCTCTGTGTTAGGTGCTGGGTATAAGGATGAATAAAGCAGGTAGAAACATAAGGAGAACTTACAGAACAGTGTCTCTGCCGAGGTCAGGACCCGGCCATAATAGGCAAGGTTGGTTTGTAGCAGCAACCGTGTGTGCTAGTGAGTCCTGGGGACACACCTGTGAATAGGTTGACACCAAATTAGGAAGAGAATGATACCAGTAGTTGTTGTAATTGCAATAAGCACTGGGTGCTACGAGCTTCATCTGGAGATTCAGGGAAGGTGTCCCCAAGGAAGTGACATTTGGGCTAAGAGTTAAAGGATGTGAAGGACAAAGGTGAAACAAAAAGCCAGTGCCTGGAGGAAAAAAAATAGAACTGCATGTCTGCATGTGTGGAAAAACCCACAGGTAACAACATACTGAATGAAGAAAAACTGGATGTTTTCCCTCGAAGACTGGGAATGTGCAAGGATATCTGTTTTGTCACTTCTATGCAACACTGCCCTGTACGTTCTAGCTGAGGCAAGTAGGCATGAAATATAAGGCATTATAAAAGCAAGAAGCAAATGGTCTCTAGTCTCATGGGACATGCCTTATAGATGGAAAATCTAAGGAAGTTATTTTAAAAATGACCACATGTCATTAGAAGTAAGAAACTGGTTTTAGCAAGGTTATAAGAGATGAGATCAATATACAAAAATTTAATTTTTCTATAATAGCAATGAGCAAAACAATTCCATCTCAAAAAGAATAAAATTTAGGAATACAGTTTTTTAAGAGTAGTTTTACACTGAAACCTAGAAGTCATTTTTGAAAAAAATTAAAAATATACTAAACTGGAAAAATATTCCATGGTAGTGGATCAAAAGATGGTAATGCTTTCTTAATTGATCTATAGGTTCATTACTATCCAACATAATCCTGTCAGCTCAATTTGTATGGAAATTTAAGGGACACAGTTAACCAAAATGATCTTGGGGGGGGGGGGGCGGGGAGTTGGAGGACTCATATGTCCTGATCTCAAAACTTAGAGTAGTCCAGATAGTGAGGTGCTGGCATGAGGATAGACATACAGATGCAGGGTACAGGTGTGAAAATCCTGAAAACCACAGTTGGTCAATTGATTTTTTGATCAAGGCACTAAAAAAATTTCAGTGAGGAGACTTCTTTAACAAATGGTTCTCAAACAACTGGATGTCCACCTGTGAAGGACAAAGTTGAACCCCTACATCATATTGTGTATTAAGATGGTTAATGTTAGAGCTAAAGTTTTATAAAAATACAGGGGTGATTTTTTTCTGACCTGGAATTAGGCAATGACTTCTTCGATATATACCTGACAGCATAAGCAAAGAAAGAGAGAAAAAAAAAAAATTGGTGTCATTAAAATTAAACCTGTGCTTCAGAAGACACAACAAAATGGACATACCATTCACAGAACAAGACTTGGGTCTCTAGTGCAACTCTAGTAAAGAAAAAAAAAAAAAAAGACAGTCTGATGAAAAGATAGACAGGAAATTTGGGCAGATATTTATGCAACGAAGTATACAAATATCTAAGGAGCATATGAAAAATTCTGAGCGTTAGCGTTAGAGTAGAGGGCTCCTTCCATTTCCTTGGGCTCACTGTGCGAGTGTCACTCCGGCACTGTAATCAGATACGGAAGAGGACTAGACCTCTCTACTCTGCCGACATGACTTGAAATGAGAATCCCAAGTTTGTTGGTTGGGTTGGTTGGTGTGGGATGGTTTTAGGACACTTGGTTGGGGGAACAGACAGTAAGTGTCCCAAATGAGATACTAAGGTAGTGAATTAATAGCATGAAAATGTAAACTTGATTTTAGAGAACCGCTGCAGATTACTCAAGGAGAGCTTTAAACAAAAACTGGAGGAAACATCCTTCACCTTTGAATGTGCAGTTCAACCCTCTGCTGGGTGTAGGCGGCTGATCTGTAAAAACAGCAATCAGTGGAAGAACCTCCAGGCCGTGCAGTCCCTTTCAGATTCTGGAATCTTTTAGGGAAAAGATAGACCTCTGGGTGTATTTTTCCTAGAGACATACCAAATGAGGGAACAGGCAGAGAAAGCCAGCAAACTGGCAGGCACTGACTGGCTAACTTGCCTTTAGAATGTGGTTACTTCCCCCTTCCACCCTACTAAATAATAACGGACAGTTTACTTGGTGCCAAGTGCTATTGTAAGTCATTTAATTCCAATAAGCCCTACCCAAAAGGGGGATTTCTAGCCCCCCTTTACAGAGACTGAGGTCTAGACATGAGGTCAGTTACGCGGTCATCGCAAGAAAGCGGCGAGCTGCATTTCACACCCAGCAGTGACTCGGTTCCAGAACCCACTCGTAACCCCCACAACACTGATCCTCCCCACACTGTGCTGGTCTTGGGATTGCCTCCCAATTGAGACCAAATTTTAAAAGTGGGAATGTGTGTTTTTGCCCCTCACCCTGCTTTATCCGCCCTGCACGAAACAGGAAGACTGCTCATTCTACCCGAGCGGGAGAAAAACGGGGGAAAACAAAAGACCAGAAACAAAAAAAGAAGAAAGAAAACCTCTCTTTTCTTTCTGCTCTGGGTGTAGCAGTATCTTCTCAAGAGTCTCACTTGCTCCGGAGGGAGCCATTATCTTGGTAGGATGTGTGTGAGGCAGGGCCGTCCGCACCTGAGGTGGGAGCGCTGGTTTCCCAGGGTCAGGAAGGGAGTTGTTGTCTTCCAGTGAGTCATCAGAGCCAGGCCCCTGCCTGCTGCCAGCCCCCAGCCTTCCCCAAGTGTTTGAGCTTCGAGTGTGGGCTGGCTGTTTTGTATGGGGTCCTAGACCAGGATCCAGGAATGCTTTCTGTCCTTGTCCCCCTTCTGGGCTCCTGTGACGGGTTGAGGAGACGTTGGGCAGAGAGCCATTTAGTGAAGCTGAACGGACTGTTTTTCTAAGGAAAACTGCTCTTCCCCTTGATTAGATGAGTAAATTAGTTCCAGATCTCTGTCAGAGCAATTTAAGAGGGTCAGGGTGAAACAAAATGTCTTAAGATACTGCTATTCTCTACTTACTATAATAAAAGAAAGGCTAACAAGCCAGAGAATGACTAGTCAAAAAGTTCCAGAATTATTTTTTATTTATTAATTTTTTAAAAAGATTTATTTATTTATACAAGCCAGATTTATTTTTTAAATAATTTTTTGGAAACCTAATTCATTGAACAGGGCCTGTGTTCAGAAGGCTGTATGCTTCGCTTGGTTTAATGGTCTGCTATCACCGTCTTGCTGCTCTTAATAACTTTTGAACAAGGGGCTCTGCAAATTACCTGGCCAGTTGTGTCAGGAAGGTACTTAAGTCAGTTTCAATTAAGGATGTTTTCTGCTCAGTTTCAGGTACGTTAGCATATCCTGTCAAAATTTGCAAGTCATCTGTTGTTCAATTTTTCTTCTTTTAATGCCGAGCAGAGTGATAAGCCCTTCACACCCAGGTATGCTCACTAATCTTTGCTGGAATGTACCACTGTGAGATTTTGATGCTGGAAAGCATGAACAAGAAGGCTCGGCATTGGTATTTATTACATTAAAACATCTTGATGTTCACTTACCGCTGTAGCTGGGTAGAATGACCATTTTGTATGGAATCTTCTCCTAAAGTGGAGAAATAATGAGGGCGAATGGGGTTCTTCAGTCAGGCCTTTGGTGAGAACTTACCTCCATTTCTATTAACTGGTAACACATGCCAGGGACTGACTCAGGAACTTGGTCCTTAGAACAAGTTAACCCAACGCCCACAACCCTGGTGTTGTGTCTCAGGCCAAGGATCCAGAGGGAGGGGCTGCATGACAGGGAACTAGGCTAATGCTGAAGTTTTTAATTTTTGAGTTCATCAGGATTAAAAGTGCTGGAGCAATTTGCTGGTGCATTTTGTTGGCAAAGATTCTGTTACTCCATCCAATGATATTGAGGTGAGCCAAGGACAAGCCCCTATTACAGGAATCAACGAATACGAGAATATTCCATTGTGGGAACGCTCTGTGGTGTTGCTTATAAAGTTGATGATAGGAGTTTGCCAGAATGCCGGAGTGTCCCATCCGGGACTCAGCCCAGGCAACCCAGGCAGACTCACAAAGAAAATCAGGAGAGTCCTACTGCGGGCACTGGGTTAGTGCTGGGGAGGTGTCCAGACTTCCTGAAGGACTGGAAGCCCAGCTTCTGAGGCAGGCAACAGCAGCCAGCACTTGGGTCTCCACCGGGTGTCATTTTGAGCAGTGTTGCCCACATGAAGTAAGAGGTGTGGGGATGTGGGTGAGAGAGAAACAGGGAACCCAGGAGGAGAAGGAAGTCAAAGCAGGTGGTGCTGCTGGAGTCCGCCTGAGATGCCGGGATGCTGATTCCTAGGTGTAGAGTAAATAATTGTCAGGCTTTTCTGCCTTCCCGCCATTAGGATTGATGATGGATCCCTGCAGTCCTGAAGGCATGCCTGATGGCGGGCACCTGGAGTAGGGTGTGGATATACGTAGGTGGGATTCACCTGGGCTGAGACGGGGCTTATTAGGGTGGTGTCACAGGGACGCCAGCAGAGCGGAACGGAACCACCAGAAGGAGAACAAGCAGAGAAGCAGAGGCCATGAGAGAAGGCCGGAGAGCCCAGAAAGAAAGAAGACTTGCTGGGGGCTGGGAGGCCTGCCAGCCTCCCAGTCCCCCGACACCCCTTCCTGCTGTGTACCTGGTAAACCCAGTAAAAGCCTGAAAAGCCACTGAGGGCTCCAGGATTCCTCCTTCACCCGTCTGCTCGAATCATAGAGATCCTGCTCTGTGCCACCCTGCCCCTGCACTAGGGCAACGAGAACTGTTGAGAGCCTGCCGGGCACGAGGCTGGCTGTCCAGACAGGCACTCGGGGGCTTTATGAAGTTCCTTTGGAGGTAGTTGTAGCTGAGTGGTAGAAAACGTGAACTCTGGATCTAAACTGCTGGCTTTTTGGCTCAGCTTGAGCCATCTCTACTTACTGTGTGACCTTGGACAGGTTACTTGACCTCTCTGTGCTGCAGTGAAGATGAAGATAATGCCTTTGCAGTATAGTCATGAGGATTCAATGTAAAGGGTTGAGAAGAACAGTGCCTGGCAGATAAGATCTCAGTAAACGTAGTTATTATACTATCTAAGAGTAAGGCTTTTTTAAGGATGATTTCAGATGTTAACAATCATTGCTACCTCATGGATGGTTGACTCTGTGGCAAGATTAATCCTAAAGAGTCCAAAATCATTCCTATTCATTTGATCTTACAAAGCTTTTAAGAAGCATGATTTTGACCCCCAAAATAGTGAATTTTATTGAGACACTGCTTGGCTTAGAGTTAGAAATCTTGGTTATGAGTCCTAACTTCTTGGCTTTATGAATTCAGGAAATTTTTTTGATGTCTCTCATTTAATTTTTCCTTATCTGAAAATTGCTGAGGATGAGGACAGTCTGTTTCACAGAATTCTCTTGAGAATCACAGGAAATGATAGAGCAAAAGCACTTTTAAATAAGGATGACCTGTGTTAGATATTTTTCTCCCTTAGACATAAGCCCCACTATAAGCAAGGTTAGTAGTATATAGAGTAGGCAAGTGGTATATAGAGTAAACTTCTAAAAGGTTAGTTGTATCTAGAAGCCATTCTGGAATTTAAAGCTGTGATACAGATAAAATACATTGGCTCTGGATACTGATAGTTTAGTAAGGTCACCCGAACACAGATGAGTATATGGGACTCCTCAATCTCCTTCCTTTTATTTCCTTTCTACCCACACAGATGATTCGGCCCCTGCCCCAGTGAATCCTTGCTATGACGGGAGTCACACTTGTGACACAACAGCTCGGTGCCTTCCAGGGACAGGTGTAGACTACACCTGTGAGTGTGCATCTGGGTACCAGGGAACTGGACGGAGCTGTGTGGGTAAGAACCATTTGCTCTGTTTTTTTCATGTCCTTGTGCATAATATGTTAATGGATGAAAAGAATCTCTTTCTGATCCCCATTGATCAGTGAGTTCAGCAGCTGTTAGCCTAAACACAGTTATTTAAAAACTAAAGCATATGTTAGATTTGAGAGGATAGCTTGAAGGTACAGACATTTGGGGCTGGAACTATGAAAAGAAAACACTGTTGTAATTCCTGGATGTTTTGAGTTCTTAAATTTTGTAGTTTTAAGCCTATGTTAAGTATTTTCTACATTTACTAAAAAGTATATTTCCTGGTCACTTTTAAATTTCAGATACTGTGTTTATTTTACCTATTTAGCCTCAAAATGCAGCAATAGAAATTTCTTTACATTTTGAAAGAAAAACCATTGCAGTGTTTTTCTTCTAAATGTTTGTAATTGTGTAAAGAATTCTCAGCATATTCAAAATATCTCCAGGTGGTTCACACTTGAGTATCGTGAAATGCTATTTAAGATGATCTACAACATGCATCTCTATCTGGTGCTTAGAAATCCTACTTGTCAACTTGTATTTAGTCCTCCATTAGTCTGAAGCCTCAGAGTGGGCGAGAAAACAGTTTTATGAGCTTCCATTTGTGAGCCTCTTGTTTAAGTAGAACTTTTCTTGTTAGATGTAAATGAATGTGCAACAGGCTTCCATCGCTGTGGCCCCAACTCTGTGTGCATCAACCTGCCGGGAAGCTACAGGTGTGAATGCCGGAGTGGTTATGAGTTTGCAGATGACCGACACACTTGCATCAGTGAGTGCCCTAGCAGTCCTCTTTTTAACCAAAACGGTACTGACCCTGACTCTTTATTCATTAATCTCTCCACTTCTGCTCTAGAGAAACTGCTGTATGGTCTTCTAGAAAACAGTTTACCTTGAAATAATCCAAAATTATTCTCTGTGTGTGTGTTGCTTTTTATTTTGTCATTGTTGTTTTCCTGTAAATAGATGTTTTTGGTGTTGGAGTATGTTCACCTCATACTCATCCCTGTGTGTATTGGCATCAGCCTGATCGTGTAACAAGACTATGAGCCACTAATAAATACCAGCAGCTCTAGGTAGACATCAAATATTTCTCAAACTAGAATGAAAGGGATTTATAACTCAAAGATGCTTGTCCCACCTCACTAGCTATAGAGCCTCATCTGGAATAAATGTACCTTTTCTAGAGTTCCAAAGAATATATTTTGTACCTAAAAATCGATCCAATGAACTAGAATTTCAGAGTCATTCCATTGATAGAAACAGATAGTGATAGAAAAAAAGTAATTTTTAATCTAATGGGATAAAAAGTAGTAGTTATCATTAGAAACCTCTGTGCAGACCTCTGTGCTAGGAACACCTCGTACCACCCCCACCCCCACCCCCCCTGTAGGCCTGAGCCCTTGCACATCCTGGCCTTTTCTTTTCAGTGATTGCTCCCCCGGCCAACCCCTGTGAGGATGGCAGTCACACCTGCGCGCCTGCGGGCCAGGCCCAGTGCATTCACCGCGGGGGCAGTTCGTTCAGCTGTGCCTGCCTGCCCGGGTACGCCGGGGATGGACACGTCTGCACCGGTGAGTATCAAGGCCGCCTTGGCTGCGTGTCCCCACACAGCCAGCACCTCTCTCAGAGAGGATCCCTCCCTTCTCTGACCCACACAGCATTGGAATTGCTGAAAGAGAAAGAGAATAGGTATTTTTTGAGTGACAAAGGGGGAGCCAAGGGTGATTTCCCTGAGACCGGGTTGATGTGTGTGTGGTTGTCCCTGGTGGGGACAATGCTGGAGCTGGGGCAGTCAGTGCCAGCGTGTCGCCTTCTGCTCCTTGGAGCCTGTATGGCCAGAGGGACTTAGTGGACATTGGGTCGTCTTCTAGGAAGTCTCTGCTTTTCTATCTCCGGTTAATGGTTTGAGTTCTCCAGTTCCTAACTTTTAGTTGCTACTATTTCCCTGGTGGAAGGAGTATTTTAAGCCATCTCTAAAGACACGTACAAGTCTTTCTATTTTTTTACCTTCTCTCTCTCAGAGAAGGGAGTGTTATAGAGCAGCCCCGATATTGAACGGGTTCCTGGCTGTGGGTCCTCACCCGCGCGCTTAAAAGGGACTTATCAATACTCCACTACAGACACACACAAAAGGTTAATAAAAGGTTTATTTACAAGGGAAAAGGAAATAAGGAAAATGTACAACTCAGGGAGAAAATAGGGAAATAAAGTCTTTAATGCGTCCTACCCGATCCGCCGACCTGGAAACCCAAAGGCACTCTCAGAGCTGGCCGGACGCTGCGAGCTGGCGGAGAGCCAAAATGGGGGACCCCCAAAGCCCACGTGTCTGCCTTTTATATCAACCTGGCTGCTTAACCCCACCCTCAGGTCCCAGCCACCTTCCCTTTGGTGGTGATGGGATTTGGAGTTCCCAGCGTCTTTGGCTTTGGCCTGGGGTGGGGGTGGAGTCCACAAAGCCTGTATGGAATTAGCTTTAGGACATCCTTTTCCCCCTAACAGGAGGAAGAACTCCATAGATATAAAAGGATAGTAATAACTAATTACCCAAACCTTTTCTCCCAGAAATCAAACTCCATTTAATACTTTATATAGAATTTTATAAAATCACCAAGCCTGAATACAGTGCTAACTGTTCATATTTAACTTACAAATATGCCTGAGGTTGCTACATAAAAAGTAGGCCTAACTCTGGGTAGAAACTCATGAGACCAGGATCAGTAGTATTTTAATAGATTTTATTGTGTTAAACAGTTCTATTTATAGTAGTGTTTTAATAGATTTTATTCAATAAATGGACATTCACTAAACATTTCCTAATATGCCCATGACCTGTGATTGAATTGAAACTCAATTTCATGCTCTCAGTAGCACACACAAATTGTGATAGAAAGAAGAGACACTGGGAATGATAGACGGATGGGAAAAGGGTTTGGAATAGAAAGAAGTCTGTTTGGGGAATATAAATTTTCTTCTCAAGTTACTGCCCATCCTGCTCCTGTGCACTCAGCCCGCTGTATCGCTAGGAACAGCCCTGCAGCTCCTGGGAACTTAACATCTAAACAGCCCGGGTCCCTTCTCCCTCCTCGCTAGAGGTTTGATTCCATTTGGTTGAACTTTTCCCTAATCCCTTCTAGAACATCCTTCTCCCATTCCTTTTTCCCCTTGGTTTCAGCAGTGCAGGCTGACTGCACCAGCAGACTGAAGCCAGTCACTGACAGAACAAATGTGTAAGGGCAGCACAGCCGTCCACTCCTTCCCAGATACGGCAGGCCACGTGGCTTGGTCTGACCCTGGCTCTTTGTTTCCACTTCTGCTCTACAGATGCTCCCCTGTTCCATTTCTTGAAAACAGTTTGTATGGAGATGACCCAAACCTGTGGCTCACTTCAGCCTTGGGTTTTTGTTGTTTCTTTTCCCCCAATAACACCCCAGCTTTAGACAGAGCTCATGTTTCTCAAGTTAGAATGAGGTGGGTTTGTGCTTCATGGACCAGCCCAAGATCACCATCTGTAACTGATAATCTCTGTGGACGGAGGGTGCCCACCCCACATTTGGGGTCAGGGTGAGGTTCATCAGCTCCTTGTGTGTCTGGTAAACTCATGGTGGGAATAATGCTTTTCCCACCCTTCTGGAATTTATCATTCGTGACTTGATTTAACATCCTACTGACTCAAAGAAGTGAAAATGCATAGAGAAAAGTCACCTTTGTCTATAAGGTGTCTTTAATTATTTTTCATAATTAAATTTTATCTGGCTACTCCAGTCAGCAGACATGATGCTTTTTTACAGCATTTAATTACTTAGGCTTTGATTTAAAGCAGCTTGGTTGAACTTAATTTGAGTGAAATTAATTGCAGCTTAGGTGTGGTGTTTATAATTAGAATGTTAATTGACATTAGGTGTGGCTTTCCCTAATTTATCCTTCTGGAATCATTTTCTCTCCCTTCTTGTAACTCTGGCTGTCCGGTAAGACTTTGGATGCTTTCTGGGGTGATGTGAGGCCCTTGAAATTGGCTACTTTTCCTTGTTGAGAATTTGAGTATTGTTCCATTAATTGTCCTCTCGTTGATTTCTGCCCTTTCCAAAGGTCCCTCTTTTATGTCTAGTTTTCTACTTTTAGGGATTCATTCTGGATCCCACAAGCTTAAAATATGCCAAACCAATTAGTTTGTTCTCCAGTGTATTAGTTATTTCCTGCCATGTAACAAATTAGCCCCAGATACAATGTATTAAAACAATACACATTTATTGTCACTGTCAGGGGCCTGGGAACGGCTTAGCTGGAGCTTTGCTTTTGGGTGCTCACAAGGCTGGAATGAAGAGGTCTGGCAGTGACGGGGTCTCATCTGAAGCCCTAGCCGGGGAAAGAGCCCTACATGTTCCTTGCAGGATTCAGATCCTCAAAGCCTGTTGGACTGAGAGCTTGGGGTCTTGCTGGCTGTTGCCTGGAAGTGACCTTCAGCTTCTTGCCCTCTCCAACAAGGTCATTTACTGTATGAAAGCCAGTGCAGAAAGGACACGGGCGAGATGGAACTGTCATTACAAAATGACATCCCATCTATATTGTCTTAGGATCTTGGTTAGAAGCAAGTTTCTCAAGGGAGGCGGGAGTCACAAGACTGAACGCTCAGAGGTAGGACTCTCTGAGGGTCACCTGAGAGCCTGCTTCCCCCAGGCAGTTACCCAGTAGCTGCCTTCCAAGCTTTCAGCTTTGGTTCTCCATCTTGTCTTGAGTTGCTGCAGGAATTAACTTTTAGCCAAATAAAGTTAAATCTTTTCCAGCTTCCCCGTGATCTAGATTTCTAGATTGATTCCAAACCTGTAGTGGTGTGAGCTGGATATTATATTTTTCAGCATATTTGTCCTTATAGATCTTGGTGGTTTTGTAGGGTGCAAGAGCAGATTTTCTTGAGTCAGGACCTTTCTGGGGAGGAACAAGTATGAGTTTAACTGGGTGCAGGTGCTCATGACCCAAAGTCATCATTGCTCAGAAGGACATGAGGGAAGCAACTTGCATTGATTTGCTCTCAGGTTTTCTGTTCTAAGAATGTAGATGTTGGGTGAGGTATGGTAAAGTAAAGTGGCCTGGGCACAGAGGAGGGGAAGAAAACAAGGCTTGATAGAAGTTTATTGTCCTCACAAGGAGGGAGGTCACTGTAGGCCACTCAGGTACGTGGGCACAAGCAGTGGGTGCTTGACTAAATAGGTGATGACCAAGAGCTTGCAGGCTGAAGCCTTTATTGGAGCCTGGGGCTGGGTTAAGGTCTATTGGTGCCAGGAAATTTCACTGCTGAAATTTAAAAGGAAACTAGCTCTGGTTGGGCGGGGAGGGGGGGTAGCAAGAGTCCAGTTGGTTGGGTTGGAATCACTGAAGGGACTTCAGCTGGTTTTGGGTGTGGGCTGAGAATTAGGAAATTGAGAAGAATGTTGAAATACCAAAGCATGAACTCAAAATGGAGGTATTTTTAAAAACACATTTTCCAAACTGGTTCTTTACCAGCTTAATGGATGATGAATGGAGAATTGCAGTGAGATGGAATCATCCTTCACTAGCTAAATGGTAAAGGGCTGTACTATGCCTTGACCACTGTTGTCTTGAGCTCAGTTTGTAAAGACCCTAACAGTGATTGTTGGGCGGAAAAGGCAGCCACCTCCTCCGATGATACAAGGAAGCCCCTCCCTCACCAGGGTCTGAAAGTCTTTCCACACGCCTAACGTCTTGTGAAATAGGGAAGAGTTGTTCTTCACACTCAAGCTCCAGTTCTCCCGACCGCTTAATGTTCATACTCTTGAGGAGAAGCCCCAACCTCCTCTGAGCTCAGAGGTGGTTGAATGGACCCCACTTCACATGCCCAAGGTCCTCCCAAGAAGTGCCTGGGACTGTACCTCAGGGAGCCTCGTCCTCCAGCTTCTTGGGGACAAGGATTGTTATAGGACAGGGAGAGGGGCAGCCCAAACCCCACAAACCTGCCTATTCTAAATGGGTTCTGCCATTCGCCGCATCAACACAAAACATAGGAGACTTTAATGAAAAGGAACTTTAATAAAACTAGGAAACAATACAGGTAAGGCAAAGAATCTAGTTTCTAAATGAAGCACCCAAAGTTACCCATCCCCTTGTGGGTAAAAGTCCATCCATATGGGATCGGCCCAGAGCAAGACCCCAAAGCCTGCCACAAGTCTAAAGCATCTTCCAGTGGGGACCCACAGCAAAGGGTCAGAAACAACCAGACAAGCCCGGAAGGAAAAGAGCAAAATCAACATCAAGATAAAAGCTGCCATTGTCACCTCCCCACAGGTCTCACCCACATCTGTGTCACCCAGTCCACGACCAAAAGACAAATGCAGTTTCTTCACATGTCTCTAGGCTCCATGCGCCTCCTCCAGGTCTCCTTCTGGCTCCATCCTGCTTCCTTCCCCAGTCTCTTCTGCAGCTTCTCCTCTTCCTGCTCAGCTCCACCCTCCCTTGGGTGGGGCAGGGAACCTCCCCCTTTCCTGGGGACCACCCTGTTACAGGATGACTCACTTGTGATGCTGCTTTCAGTCTCTCCTTATTGCCCATTCAGAGCAGCTACTGTCTCCCCATGACTTCATATTTGTGGGGAGGGTGGCCGCTCTTCCAGGGCTTACCGAATTCCTAAGCTGTAGACTCTAAGAACATAAATAACTTGGTAGCTCTGGGGAATCCCCTCTTAGTTCAAATATAATCTCAAGAAACTGGTCCGTGGGTTCTAGAAATAGGCCCTGTATCTCAGGAATTCCTGCTTCCTCTCATTGCCTGTTGTTCCTGTTACCTTTAGAAGTACTTTTAGCATCTGTATCATAAAAAGCTTTAATTTCCTGTATTTGGCAGGATGTTAATTTTTATAGCTTCAGTTTTACAGCCAGTTTTACAGCTTCTTCCAGGCCCAGGAGCTGAATGATCACCAGCTGTGCCCAACTGGGCATTCAGGTTACACAGATAAAGAGACAGAAGCAAGGCCAAGTCAATTTAGAACCCACATTGATTAGATGGCAGATAGGGTTTTGTTATTCTAATTGTTTTCATTTGGTTAACTGAGGCGCTAACCAGAGCACCTTGTTTGCTCTGACCTTGCAGATAAGTTTCTAACTACCTTCCTCCTTTTGTAGGTAGAAAGGAAGCTGACCAAGTCGGCTAACCACTCAGCTGGGCAGAAAACCTCAACTCATTAGGTGGCATTAAATGTGGTTGTTTTGAACAGTCAGGAATTTTTTTGGACTGAAGGGAACTAATTGACATTGACAAAACTCCCCTGATACTGAGGATAAACAGAATGCTAACTTGCTAATTACAGTGTAAGGGATCCCTCTTTTGTGAACAGCTGTTCCTCTTACTGGTTCTGGGAAACCCCTGAGTCAAGGGAGGTGCCTCAGTGAGAGTGTGGCCATAGCAAAGGTGTCAGGTAAACCTCCAAGAGACTCACCCTGATCACGGGAGGCTGGGGGAGGAGGCTTCTTTGCCCCTCGTTCATTCATGTCCAAGTCAGGGCCGTTTATGTTTCTGGTTCCTGGATCCAAAGTGTCCCTGCCACGGGCTTTGGTGAGGTGATGCAGTTCACTCCTGAGACTGCCATTTTTGAAGGTTCACACTATCATCCCATCCCACGTTTATTCCTATTCACACAATTCTACAGTGTTTTCTGAGTATTATCGAGGAATGTGACACTTTTCAGCTAAGCCTTGATCAGACCTCCAACCTCCAGCTTCCCTCTAACTGGGGAAGATTTGCTGTCTCCAGAGCTCGCTTATCTCAAACAGTGGTCTTAATGATGTGGTTTTGGAGTGCGGGGTTTTTGGGTTCACTCTGGGAAAGGCTTCACCAGAGCTTCCCTTTCAGTGGCACACGGTGAGTTTCCCAGGCGAGTGTCTCCACGAGACAGAGACCTTGGTTATAGTTAAGGAACAGGTTTATTAGGAAAAGGGGACAGAAGAATGAAGGACACTTGCATAGACACAAGCGGGGAGAAAGAGCTGTCCTGAGAGGGACAGGTTTGCTGAGAGGCCTGCATGGTCACAGGCGGGCGGCCTTGAGAAGAGCTGCCTCCGCTGAGGGAGGTCAGTAGGAGAAGCCCCGGCATGGGACAGGTCAGGGGCAGGCTGGAAGCTGCTGTCCTGCAGAGGAGACAGTTGGTGAATGGAAGCACCTGCATAGTCACAGGTGGGCAGAGGGAGTACTGCCCCCTGTCAATGCAGAGATTGCACTGATACAGTCTTTTTCTCTTTGGGAGGGCCTCACTCCTTTGTGGAGTGGCCTGTTTCTGGATAACAATGAGAATCTGATAGGGACCTGACGTTCCAGGATGTGCCCAATCTCTTTATCTTTACCCTCAGGTCAGAGTGTCTGCTCCAGAAACTCCCTACAGCGTCTGATACCTGCTTGGGCCTTATGCCTTGTGATAAGGCACTGGAGCCTAAGGATCTTGATTTCTGTAGCTGGGTTAATGGTCACATTAATCCTCTCTACCCCCACCTCCTTGTGTGAGTCAGGTTTTAGTCTTTTGATGCCTCCTTTAGGTTTTCTATTCTCCCATCATTGACAGTTCCACTCTCAGTTTGCTTTGGGTGGGGGGAGGTACTTGCCTAGCTACTGTTAGCATATGCTGATTTCAGTAGATAAATATAAGTTGGCTTTTGTTTGAAGTTGTTTTTTTTTTTTTTTGCAGAAATCTGAAAGTTAATCTTTAGGGTACCTTGTGGAAAGTGAAAAAAACCTGACCTATTTGTACAGCTAAGCCTGAAAGTTTTAGATTTTCTTGCTTATGTATTGTTTCAAAAACTTTCCATTTCTTTTAAAAGTGGAAAGTAAAAAAAATTCTAAATTAGTTGGGCCCTGATTAGGTAAGAATGCATGCTTCTAACTTAGTCAAAAAAATATTTGGTGGCTCGTCAGCTTCTTTGCATCTGTAACTCTAGAGAGAGATCTTGCCAACAATGAAAGGAAAAAAAAAACCCATTGTTGCATATATTTATCTTTATTGTAGTGTTACTGAGAGGAAATGGATGATTTATAGTCTAAAATTTGGTCTAAGAGTAACAACTTCCTGGAATTCACTGTAGATGAGAGATACCCTAGAGGTAGGCGTGGGGTATTTTCTCTCTCAGTGACCATGCATCTGATTTCCATGCTGCACATTCTTTGTCTGTTATTAACTCACAGGGCCCTCACCTTTTAACTGTTAAGCTTGCCTGTCAGTGTCAGCGTTTTTCTGCTCTTGACCACAGGCCTCCTGAAGTGCCCCTCACTGATGCGTGTGTACTGAGGCCACTCAACAGCAGACTGTAGGCAGTGACGTCATGCTGTCCTCCTTCTCCCCTCCCTGCCCTCTGCAGATGTTGATGAATGTGCAGAAGACAGATGTCACCCCTCGGCTACCTGCTATAACACCCCCGGCTCCTTCTCCTGCCGTTGCCAACCTGGATATCAGGGGGATGGATTCCAGTGCACACCTGGTAAGGGCTGGAAGACCAGAAATAGAATGGAAGGAGACGGGAGTGGTTTCTCTGGCACTTTACCTGATTTGTCCAGGTCTGAGAGCTAGTTGGTGGATTTTTTTAGGCTCTGTTTTTTTTAATTGATTGATTGATTGATTGATTGATTGATTTATACAAGCACTGGGTACAGTCAGAAGTGCGGGAGGGTGAGAGAATTCACCAAAGCCAGAGCGGGGAGCAGAGCAGGCAGAAGGACCAGAAGTACACTGCTGAAGGGAGCAACAGGGGGCAGGAGAGGTCTGTGCGCCATGTGGGACCTTCCTCCGGTGGCTGGGGAGCAGCCGGGGATTGAACCGGTGCTGCAGAGGCTGCGGGCAGCTTCGCAACCCAGAGTTCAACCACTGCACGGCTCTGGATTTTTTTTTCTCAGTTACCTTCTGCCTAGTTTACTGATAGTTCACTGGTTATTAGCTTTCTGGGAGACTAGGGGCATCACCCATCTATTGTAGTTGCTTTTCTGGCTAACTACTCAAGATCTGCTTTGCCTTGATAGATGGATTTAGGTGACGTATCAAGCTTATTAAATGAGAGCTACTCTGAACTGCAGCGGGGTGGGGGTTTTACTTGTTTTCTCAGGAGTCTCTTGGGATGTTTGGATGGAAGCTGTGGGCTGCTCCTCATTTTACTCAATGACAATAGGACCTTGAGGGCTGAGGGAGGGGCTGCTTTACAGTATAGTCAAACTAGAGATTGATAGGGTAAAATGCGAGAATCAGGGGGAAATTATCACTAGGTCGCTAGAGGAAAAGCTACCTGGAGAATACTGGCTTCCAAGATCCCCACCTTGCTATTTTCTCCATGTCATGCTGTCTTCCAATTACAGAGGGAAAAAACCTGACAGGGTGGTGAAAAGTGGATGTGTTGCAGTATTTCTTACTTCCCTTTTCCTTTCCTCTGCCCTGGTACCAGAAGACCCCGCCTCAGGACTGAAACCCTGTGAACACCAGCGCCGCAGCGCCCAGGCCCAGTACGCCTATCCTGGTGCCCGGGTCCACATCCCCCAGTGCGACGATCAGGGCCACTTCCTGCCACTGCAGTGTCATGGCAGCACTGGCTTCTGCTGGTGTGTGGACCCCAATGGTCATGAAGTCCCAGGCACCCGGACTCCACCCGGCTCCACGCCACCGCACTGCGGACCACCAGGTGAGCCAACCGAGAGAGAAGCCTGAACCAGCTGAGGCCAGGGGCTCAACAGGCAAATTGGCACTGAGGGCAGGGTGGGTGGTAAGCCCTGCCCAGGTCATCTCAGAACTGAGCACCATCCTTTCACAGCCACCTCCTCTGAATATTATCGGGCAGGAGGACGGGCACTGCAGGACCCCCCAAATCTGGATGCTTTTAAGTGGGTTTTGCCATCCATTGCATCAAGACAAAACATATTCTAGTGTGTAAGACCTTTGATGGAAAATAACTTTAGTACAATTAGTGTGCAATCAAGAGAAGAGAAAGGATAGAGTTAAAATAGTTTCTAATTAAACACCCTAAATTATCCATCCCTTGTGGGTAAATCCTCAGCCAAATAGGGTTGGCCACCCAGAGCACTGAGGCCCAAAAGCTTGTCACAAGTCTAAGGTAAGGGGCCTGCTCATGGGGATCCCTGGGAAAGAGGTAGAAGAGGGCAGGTGGGTCTGGAAGAAAGAGAGCAAAATAAAAATCCAAGTCAAGATAAAGACTGCCATGGCCGGCCTCTCCACAGGTCTCTCACTCACCTCTCTGTTGCTTTCACCTGTCTCCTGGTCCCCCAAGGCCCTGGGACAAGTCCAAGGCCAAAAAGCAAGTGTGGCTTCTTCACATGTCTCTTTGCTCCATGCGCCTCCTCCAGGTCCTCTTGATCTTCCTTACCCCAGACTTCTCTAGCTTTACCTCCCCTTTCCCTGGGGAGCACCCTGTGACATGAGGAACAGCTTTCGCCCACACTCATGTGACAGAGACAGACATGTGAGACTGAGGCTACAGCTCTGGATCGCTTATGGCAGCTTAGGGGAAATCTTTGAGCTAAAATCTTGGCATGCAGCCTTGCGTCCAGGATATGTGCCTTTTCGTATAACTTCATATCCCTTAACTCTGCCTTCTGAACTGCAGGAAACAGTCTGAAGTCTATGTTAATGGCAATAGGAAAAATAAGTATAACAGTTCTGGGCAAATCCAGGTAATCTGCCCTAAGTTGATAACCCCAGTTCACTCTAGCCAGGCCCAACTTGTTACCAGAGAATCACTCTTGACCTGGCCACCTTCCCGAGAGATTCAGGGGCCTCTTCTGGTGGCCTGAATGCTGGACATGTCTGCTAACCTGGTGACCACAGTTCAGGTAGGGGGTGTGATTATCAAGGGCTCACAGTTCATGTCAGCCACAGGTTGCCAAGGCAAGTGTCTCTGGAATTGTTCAAAGATGGGAAGAACTTCTTTAAATACAGAAGAACTTTACTATGAAAAATGTAGTTGTTGTAATACTCTTTTAGCCAAGATGATTCCTACATCCACAAGCTTGCTATTCAAAGATCCATTTTCATTATTGAAAGGGGTTCAATAGATGTTAATCTTGGCTTTTAATGAGAGTAAGAATGGCTGGAGAATTACTGGCAGTTTCAGGCCACTCCGTGTTAACTGATGGCCAGGCTATTGCTGGTTCTAAGGCTCACAGACAAATTCAGAATGCTTGATCTAGATGTATGCGCAGGTTTCCACAGTGACTCTCCTAGTTCCTCTGTCCCTATTTTTGGGAAATGTTTTTGCAGGTCTGAAAAAATACAGAGAAATCCTGTTCCACTCATGCCTACTCTTTAAAGTCTTAGTTCTAACTCCAGCTGGAATTTGAAGGCATCAGATGGTTGGGAGGTGCCTTAAGGCAATGGCTCAGAATTATATTAAATTTATTAAGACAAGCATGTGTTAAGGACAATGATTTAAAAGGGAGCCAAGAGAATGAGAAGTTAATGACTAAAAGAGGGACTCGTTCTTTGGTGCAGACTTTCCCATGTCCCAGGCATCTCCTCTGGCACTGGTTGGGCCTTGGCTGCCACCTCTGATGAGTCTCATCTGCATAAGGGGGTCAGCATGCAGGGGAGAGAACATATCGTGCCCAAGATCTCAAAGTATCTCAAACCCTGCCAGCCAGAAACAGAAGAGAAATAGATTCGTGGCTGGCCTGAGAAGTAGTTACAAATAGCAAGGACCGGGAGGGATGCCCACACGAGTGACAGGAGGCACCATCTCCCGAGGCTGTCTGTGCTGTGTCTGCATCCCCAAGAGATGTCCCTCAGTGGGTGGACAAAGGATCCTCTGAGTTCAGAATGTGGACCCGGGCGGCCCTGGGAATTTGTCCAGAGATCCCTACCTTGCCGTGACTAGCAAATGTTTGAGGAAATGGCATTTTTCTTTCTGGATTCTCTGAGACACAACTGGATAAGAAAGTCAGACTCTTGTTTTCTCCGTGGTGTTTTAAAGAGAGATTTTCTTTTCATGGGTCATGAGCTATAGAGGCGAACTAGAGGGCACCTGCTCTCCAGACCTGAGGTGTTTTTTTGGTGAGTTTGGACACTGAGGCTTTTGTTTACCACCTTCCTGCTTTCCTAGAGGGAGTTGTAAGTGCTGAACCCAAATGAATAGTTTCCAACTTTGTTCTTGGAAGACATTGGAGGCTTTGACCAAAAGAGACAGAAAACGACTTTGTGTTTTAGAGGGTTCTTCTGGCTGCTGATTGAGCTTACAGTGTGAGGTGAGAAGGGGTTTGTAAGTAGGGGAGCCAGTGGAATCCTGGCACCAGGTGATGGGAGCTTGATGAGGGGAGTGGAGAAGACAGGTAAAAAGTGAAGATACTCAGAATGTAAGGGAAGGTAGAGCTGACATGAAATAGCAGATGTGGAAAGTGAGAGGAAGAGTCAAGGATGATTGGGCCTGACCAAGGCAAAGACAGAGCTGCAATTTACTGATCGGGAAAAGATGAGGGGATAGCAGCTTTGAGGGGCGGTACAGGGACCCGGTTTTTGTCAGCTCTTCTCTGAGACATATATCCAAATGGCGGTATCGAGATAACTTGCCATATAATTCTACACATCACAGGCTTTGAATTGCAGGAGTTAAAAAAGAGAAGCGCCTTCTATTTAAGTTCCCTTTGGTAATCTTTTCAAGCTGGCCGAACAAGTTATTTCTGTAGTCTGCAGCAGTCCTTGGGACTGCATCTCGGTCCCATGGAAGCTGTCTTCAAGAAAACTGCAGGCAGAGAAACTGCTGTGCGGGAAAAGTTAACAGAAGTTTAAGTATCGTGGTGAGCTGTGGAGGAGATGGAACGTGCTGGAGAAAATGGGACAGAGCAAGACGGTGGGAAGCTGGAGCCTGCAGAAAAAGATTCAGCTTTGAGATCATCCAGGAGCAGGTGGCCAAGGCCTTCTAGGAACTGTCTCTCAGTGTTAAGTTGCTTGCCATTATGCCACACGCATTAGTACAGTGTGGTTTCCCAACGGACAGATGCTAAGCATTGCAAGATGGCATCCAGTCAGACGTCCTAAGACGTAACACCAGCCAGTCTCCAGATAATCCTTGCAGATGCAGGTCTTGGGCTGGAAGCAAGTGGGAAAATAAGAACTGACTTTAAATATCATGCAGGCCATTGAGTCCCCAAGGACAGCCCCCACAAGTGCTGTCAGGAGAGGCCTGGGATCCAGGAGGAGTGGTGTGCATGGGCCTCTGTGGCCTGAGTGAGACCGTCCCCCCTCCCAGGCTAAGTGCACCCTGTTCTGTCCTGATGCAACGGCCCTGATGACAAATCCTCTCCATTGGGACAACCTTCCTCTTGATTCCCAAGGGGAACTTTGAGCTCTGCTCTACTGTGGTCCAGAATCCAGGCGTTTGGCTGGGGCCTTGTTAATGGATAGTAGGAGGAAGGCCAGGTGGCCAGGGAGGGGGGAGTCTTGATCTGCATGCTGCATTCTGTCCTTGGCTCACAATCAAAGTTGTTCTCCGCATCTGCTCAGAGCCCACCCAGAGGCCCCGGACCGTCTGTGAGCGCTGGAGGGAAAGCTTGCTGGAGCACTATGGCGGCTCGCCCCGGGATGACCAGTACGTGCCCCAGTGCGATGAGCTGGGCCACTTCACTCCCCTGCAGTGCCACGGGAAGAGTGACTTCTGCTGGTGTGTGGACAAGGATGGCCGAGAGGTGCCAGGCACCCGCTCCCAGCCAGGCAGCACCCCTGCATGTAAGCACCCAGGACAGCCCTCAGCTCCACCGGAGGCGCTTCTGTAGGGAAGTTGCCCACCAGGGGAAGGTGGGGAAGGTGGGGCACGTGGGGCACAGGAAGTAATGTGTTGGAAGTGTGCTGATTCGTAATCTGGTCCAGCCAAGATCCCAATTTGGATTTAATATAAGCTTTTGTCTTTAGCAGTTTCAGTAATTAGAACATCTGGAACTCAGCTAACTATATAATTACTCCCCCTCCCCAGCCTGGGGTGAAAAAGAACTTGTGTCACCCTGAGGTCCCAAAGAAAAGCTGACACAATTCTAGCTGTCTTTTTCCTTTAAAGTGAAAAAAAAATCTGCTTTGTTCAGAGGGAAATGTTTTGTTGTCTTCCTCCATAATTGGCACTGATTTACATAATTGATCCTTGGGAAAAAAAATCTAGAAATTAGAATTTCTTTCAAGGAACATCTGGAGTACATCTGTCTAGGGTGAAGAACTTTTGATGTTTTGGAGGCTCGGGTATGTGGGAAAATAACTTTTCTTCCCCTCTTCCCCACTACCCTGTATCCCTTTCTGTTCTCATACCCACCCCCTTACTCTTTCCCATGCCAGGTATACCCACGGTTGCTCCACCCACGGTCCGGCCCACGCCCCGGCCTGATGTGACCCCTCCATCTGTGGGGACCTTCCTCCTCTATGCCCAGGGCCAGCAGATAGGCCACTTGCCCCTCAATGGCACCAGGCTTCAGAAGGATGCTGCCAAGACCCTGCTGTCCCTGCATGTAAAGTGGACTTCTCTTGTTGGGGAGCGGGGCTGTACGGGGCTTCCTGGGGGCCCAGAGTGGCTCATCTCTCTGGGCAAGGGCCTGAGGAGGGAGGGCCTGACACCATCCCTGCATAAAGTGGGGATCTCTGCTCCTTGGGAGTCATGGCTGACCAAGGTCACTCTCTCTAGTTGATTCATGGTTTCAGGTAAGTGCAAAGAATTTCAGTTGTCAAGATATGGACGGAGATCTGCGAGAAAGTGGACAGCAGCATAACCAAGTCCTAGGTTCTCTCCATGCCACAGACATCACTAGAAATCCTGGAAATCAAAATGACTGGAAGACTCTATGCAGGGGGAGGTTTGTGTGATCAGTTGAGAATCCCAAGTGGAAATTAATTAATGGCCGCCTCACTGTTGTAGCCCCTCCCTTTTTGGTTTTGTTGATCAGTCTATTTTCTTTCCTGACTTCTTCAGAGATGAAGATTTGGGTGGGACAAGCCTGATGCTAGGAAAGGAGCAGACTGAGCTTTCCCTCGAAGATGCTTGCCACTTGAGTCACCAGCCTCCCTATTGCCAAGATTCTCCATTTTGGAAGAGGGATTTCTTCTCTCTAAAACGGAGAATTCCCCAGAAAGCACTGAAACTTAAAATAAACATCATTTCTTTAACATTACTTTGTTATAATCTTGATGAGAAAAAATATGGCCGATGCTGAACAAAATAACATTAGAGAACCTTTCTGTTTAATTTTTTTACTGAAGTAACATGAGGATGTGTTTTTAATGTCGATTTGCTTTTAAGTCAGTTTCCAAGAACCTATCAACATTAACTGAGGACTTAAGTGTTCTCTCGTTAATGAACTAATTCCTATTTGGTTCCAAAAATGTTTTCAAGCAGCTAATAATCAGCAAAAGGTGCATTTTTCCCTTCCAAGATTTGAGTTTGTATGTGTTTCACAAATGGTAGCAAGCTGTTTTGTGAGTTTCTCTAAGAGGCAGAAACTAAGAAATTATAATTACTCCACACCAACCATCTATTCTAGTCAAGGGATGACTCCACTGAATATCTGAACTTGTAGGGGTATAGGTAGTGGTGGTAGTGATGGAAATAAGAGAAATGGAGCAAGAAGTATAGGTACATCTTGGGGAAATTTACATCAACTGAGACTTTCTCTGAGGAACTTTTAAGTCTTTATGTGGGTTAGTAGGTCCCATGATTCCCTGGGTTAATGGAAGCCCCTGTGGATGTGTACTGTTGCCAAGAGACATCTTTGCGAGCATAATTGTATTTGACCTTCAGATCCCGCCATCCAAACTGCACATTTTTCCAAAGGCCCAAAATTCTACTTCATAGTGTTTCTTATCCTGACTCCTCTTCCAGAGGCACAAGTCAAGTAGCCCCAGGAGGCTTTGTTAGGCAACAGGGAGCTGGCGCGTCTCAGGCAGCCAGATGGCCCATAGCTGTTGGCTTTGCACATTGCTGGGCTTCTCGAAGTAGCAGTCTGCATCAGAAACTGAATGAAACAAGTACTGTGTGGAGTTTTGGAAAGAAGTATCAGACTGATTCACAACAAATTTTTTTAGTCATTTATTTAGCAACATGGAAAGAGGGGTGATCTTTTTAGTGAGGTTGGGTGATCGCCATCTCCCAACTCTTTAACCCATCAAATTTCAGACTCTTTTTCATGAAAATAGTAGTAGTAGTAGAAGCAAAGATGTATAAGTGACTGTACCTCATGTGAAGGGAAAGATACACTCATAGGGGAGGGGAAAGGAGATTAGATTTTAATATATGTCGGAAAATTTTAGAAAGGCTCTTTTAAAAAGGACTGGCAACATTGAAAGCAAAAAGTTTGAGCCGAATAAAATATTAAGGACTTTGGTGAGATTGATGTTTGACCTCTAATCACTAAAAGGGCTGATTTTTTTTCATTTTATCGCCTTTGTTCTTACCACCACCACCAATAGTGCTTATCAGAGCAAACTAAGTCTTGATTAGGACCCTTTCAAGTATTTAATTTTCATAAGTAGCCATATGAAGTGTAGGTGCTGTTATCTTTGCTTTGTAGATGAGGAAACCAAGGCATGGAGGTTAAGTACCAAAGTCACACACACAGCTAGTAAGTATCTGAGCCTGGCTTTGATCCCAGGAAGGCCACCTCTACAGTCCACATATCTAAACTTTCCTTAGCTGCCCGAGAGAATGCCATACCGGGCTGTTCACTGAAGCCAGCCTTAAGTGAACTATGGGAGATCCTAATTCTTCCAACTCTGTGTTTTGGTCCATAAAGGGCTCGATAGTCGTGGGACTTGACTATGACTGCCGGGAGAGGATGGTGTACTGGACAGACGTTGCTGGACGGACAATTAGCCGTGCCAGTCTGGAACCAGGAGCAGAGCCCGAGACGATCATTAACTCAGGTCAGCAGTTTCACCCAGAAGATACTTTCAATTGATTATACTATTTCCCAGTTACTTGCCTTTTTTTTAATAGCAAAGTCTCACCTATTTTCATCTAACAAGGAAGATTAAGTTCTATGCAAATCACTTTACTAAGCTAAACAAATCAGCCCTTCTGTAAACAAACATGTTCATTCATAAGGAATGAGGTAAATTCTTACTGTGCGCTCTTTCTCTTGAAGCCCTGTTTCTCAACAGAAAGGACTCACAGATGGGACCCCCTCTGGTAGCGCAGCAGGGTTGAGGCGCAGCCTATGAGGCTGTCTGTAGCCACTGCAGTGCGAGTTCGATCCCCAGCTAGCCAGGGAGCAGCCCACATGGTGCAGCAGACCTCTCCTGGCTTGCCCGCTGCTCCCCTCAGCAGTGTATTTCAGTCAGTCTGCCTATTCTGTTCCCCACTCGGTCTCTGGTGGATCCTCTCACCCCCCACACCTCTGGCCTATGCCCCAGCTCTTGTATGCATAAATATTTAAAAAAACAAACCAAAAAAAAAAAAAAACACAGAAAGGGTTCACAGGAAGTAAGAATTCAGGGAGTGGCCACAGTTTATGCTGCCCGGTCCTACACAATGGATGCCAGGTGCCATCAAGTGGGCAGGCCTGTTACTCTAGAGATAACAAGAAAGGAAATTTTTCTGCCATGTCTAAACTCGGTTCTTCTGACTTTAGAGATTCTCTGGACACTGTTCAAACAATAGATCACCTAATCGATCACATAATAGATTGATTACACTTCACGTTTAACTTCCATACCCTGCAAATGCGCCAATTCTGCCTTTATCTCCAGGTCTCATGAGCCCCGAAGGACTTGTCATTGATCACTTCCGTAGAACGATGTACTGGACGGACAGCGGTCTGGATAAGATCGAGAAGGCCAAGCTAGATGGCTCTGAGCGCAAAGTCCTCTTCCACACCGACCTGGTGAACCCCCGAGCCATCGCTGTGGATCCAATCCGAGGGTCAGTTGGGCTTACCTATTTCTATTACCTGTAGATATTGATCTGAAGCCCTTAGATTTTACATGGGGTGTGGGGAGGTCAGAGAGTGGAAGCTCAATTGCATTAACATTATTTACTGAAGATCTAGGTGTCAGACATTGTTGTGGGCAAAGATAAGGTTCAATGTATTCTTTCACAAAGCCGACATTCTAGTAGGAAGAAGACAGACTGTAAACTAAGAATAAACAATTATTTGCAGTGACCACTGGTTCAGACATGCATGGTGCAGCCTAAGGAGACAGCCAGCCTCCTACGCCACCAAAAAAAAAGGTGAATTCAGATAGAGAACATGGAGGGGCTGGCACTACTTTGGGTCAGGTGATCAGAAAAGGGCCTGTCTGACATCCCAAACTAGGTGAGGTAGACCTTCTTCAGCAATGTGTTAGGAAATCACAGTATTAAAGTCACAATAGGATTCACGTCCATTTAAACAGTTTAAGGAAGCAACACTCAAGACACCTAGCATTCTTTTCTGGCCCCATTTCCACTGTAGCCAAAGTCAAGCGAAAAATGTTTGCTGTTCATGAGTTACTACAGTTAGTTACAAAGTGGGACGTGGTCAGTGTTTCAGTACTTGTTAGAACTGAGAAGGATTTTATCTGAAGCAACTTTTGCCATAGCTAATGGGGCTTCTACCAAATGAAATTCAGAGAATTTCTCAAATCAGTAAAGAAAACTTTTAATTTGTACCAGTCTTTTTTAACTCATATAATTAATGAAAAGCCTCTGATGTGGTTCTGAACTTTGGGTTCTACACACTAAGGAAAATGTATCTTTCTCTATTCCATTTAATTTATTCACAGCAACTTGTACTGGACAGACTGGAATCGAGAAGCTCCTAAAATTGAAACATCATCTTTAGATGGGGAAAACAGAAGAATTTTGGTGAACAAAGACATTGGACTACCAAATGGTTTAACCTTTGACCCTTTTTCCAAAATGCTCTGTTGGGCAGATGCAGGTAACACTAGTGATGGAACATAATTACAGAATGCTTCAGATTTGTGCGTATGAGCCCTCTAACAGATTTTACAACAAAACCAAATCCCATCATTTAGAACTTCTTGCTTAAATATATACCACCACAGTATATCAGCTATGCCTTTATCTGTGAACTTATAAAAGAATGCTTTGTAGTGACTTTTAAAATATATTCCTTGGGTGTTCTGGGAGGGGACAGTGAATACGCAGTAAAATTTGGGAGTCTGTAGTACGTCCAACTCTTTTGTATTACCTGCCCTTCCCCCACATGAACACTTGCCATACTTTTTATATTGAAATATCTTGTAGAACAGATTTTTTTTGGGGCCATTATAACATTTATAAATATTGGTTATTCTAACAGTGAGCAGGCTAGTATGCTGAAGTCCTTTCTTTGAAAGTGATATAGCAGGATTGGCTTCCTTCAGAAATTTGGGTTGTCAAAACCCAGGATTATCTATTTGTGTTGTGTGATTTCATTATTAGCACAACTGAAAAGATGCTATGTAGCCAAGTCATAATCTAAAAGGAACTGTCATGCAGATAGATGTCTAAGCAACAGCTACATTTTAAAAAGTGTTTGCAATTTAAATCAGGGTTCTATTAGAAGTGTGGAACTTGGGGAAATTCTTGGCTTGTTTTACTGTAAAAATCTCAAGACTGCTTCCTTTACACTGAAAAAATGAGCCATGTAACCATTTTACTTTTTATTCCTACCTTGAAAACGACTCTTTAAAAAATTCAGGATTTTAGTTTAAAAGCAACCTTGACTATTATACATTGCTTACAGATACCCTGTTTATGACAATCATCTCTAATGCCCTATTTAAGTAAATGTGACTAAATTGTCAGATTTCTGTATGCTCAATTTTACAATAGAGTAGCATAACAAACTGAAGACTATTAAATAGGAAATTTTAGTTTCTAATTTGACTGTAAATGGGAATAGAATACTGTTTCCTTTAAGAATTCTACCTGCAATTATTTTGGCAGAGCTTTTTACTTTCATAGTATGAAGGGTCTCATTTTTTTCCTGATGTTTTAAAAGGAACCAAAAAGCTGGAGTGTACGCTACCTGACGGAACTGGACGACGTGTCATTCAAAACAACCTTAACTACCCCTTCAATATCGTCAGCTACGCAGATCACTTCTACCACACAGACTGGAGGAGGTGAGCCTAACACACTCTGGACAGGCCTGACAAGGCAGATTGTTCTGGAGGACAAAACCCTTGTTTTACCAAATGTCAGTGACTTAAGTAATTAAGCCCTCTAGGAAGTTTTCACTTCATTATCTCTTTAGTAGAAAACATTCAATACTACTGCTTCTAGAGTCAGTTTTATATTATTCAAAAATTCAGTGGTATTGCTTACATATAGCTTATCAACTATCCAGAAAGAGTACATTGATGTAAATTTCACTTTCATAGAATAAGACTACCCTTAAGTGGTATGACGAAGTATACTACTATGTAGATAAATTTTTTTTTAAACATGACATTGCAGTCTTTGTCTACTATGGAAGAATTGGGGGACATAAAAACAATCTCTAAGGTCTTCTACCATTGGTCTACCAACCCTGGTGGTCTGAGGCCCAGGAGTCAGTATTTTAATGGCTCAAGTGATTCTACTGTGCAGCTAGGGTTTTAGAACCTCTGATGTGGACGAATGAATCTCATTAAGACACATTTCTGGGTCTTATCCTGGAAAAATCTGATTCTGTAGGCCCCACAAATTTGCATTTTTAACAAGATCTGAGGATAACCTGAGGACCACTAACAGTCAAGTTTTCTGAATCTAAATGAGTCAAAACTCACTTGGTTAACTTGAAAAATGTTTTCTAAAAGGTTGGCACAGAATAGTCCTTTGTTGAAACGGACAACATCCAACCTAAAATCCAATGTACTCACTCTTGCTTTCTTTACCAGGGATGGTGTTATATCAATAAATAGAGACAGTGGCCAGTTTATTGATGAGTATCTCCCAGAGCAGCGATCTCATCTCTACGGGATAACTGCAGTCTACCCCTACTGCCCAGCAGGTAAACATGCTGCTCCTCTGGATAAATAGGGTAGATAAGGATTCTCCTTGGCCCAGTTAACAGCCACTGCCACCAGTAAGAACCACTTTAACTTTTCCGAATTAATGGCCAAACCGTGGGGGCAACCAATCTTTACTACCTAAGTCTCCTTAGATTAACTATACACTAAATAATGTGCTATTGCAACTCAGTTAACAAATCCACTTTTTCCCTCCCTCACTTCCCACGGCAGGAAGAAAGTAAATACGGTATGTAAAGGACTTGGAGTTTACAATAAGAATCTGGAGCTTAAAGAACATTTACTGAAAAACAAAGGTGAAGAAAGTGAAAAAGGAATCGGCCATTAGAAGTTCCTGGACATACAGTGCAAAAAGACTAAGTATATTTTGTGAAAAGTTTATACCTCAATCTTTACTACTGTATTTTTAAAAGCAAGTTTAAAAAAAAGTAATAGAACTTAATTCATGCTGAAAGCAACTTTACAAACATTTTATCATATTTAAAAGGTCAAATTCATTCAGTTAAAAACCAGTGTACACCCTAAATCTAATTTTTGCCTTAGATTCTTTCTCACCAAGAAATTAAAGCACATGTGATCAGTACAAAATACAATCGTAAAGATCATAAACCTCAAGAGAAGGCAATGCAGAACTGATGGGAAAGATCCAACTTAGTTTCCCAGCAAAAGTTCTAAGACTTTTTTTTACCTCTACATTTCTATTTATATTGAAAGGTGCTAGAATATTTCAATTTGTATTTTCTGATCCTGTAAGTTCCTTTATAGAATTACCCACAGAAATCACTACATGTATAAATACCAAAGATGTAACAGTTCTCAATTTCTAGATTACACCAATAAAATATTTTAAAGTTTTCCTATGATTTGTACTGTCTATGGCATATACCTGTAACCACAAAGGACTTAACAAATAACAGTCAAAAATAATCCACTTTCCCAACTTTATTAAAGAAAAAGCAATGATGGTAAATCTCTAGAACACAGCCAATTTTCTGGGATTCCTCCCTTGAAAATGTGACATTTGATTTCCAAACATGCCAGAATGTACACAGTTCCCAATGGTACTAAGTAGGTGAGAAGCTGAAATCCTAAAAATGTTCATCTTCCAACTTTCCCCAGTCTGTGGTCTGTCTTTGGATCGGCAATAATTGCCTGAACAGCTACTATGGCTTCATTAATTTTTGTCTGTAGCTCTCTGAGCTCTTCTATATGCAGCAATCGCAGAATTTGAGCAGCTTCATTAAGAACCGCATCTGTTTTATAAGAAACACTGCATTAATTAATAACTTGATACTTAAAGACCATTTCCTCACACAGGTCCCCATCTCTAAAAACTGAATAAAAGTCACTTACCTCCTGTGTCAAAACCAAGGATATGCTTGTCTAAAGCAACAGGTAAGCCCTTTAAAAAAAAATAACAATTCCATTACAAATAAATCTCTCATTTGAAACTGCAAAGCAGTCAGCTATTTTAACCTTGCCTAGCAAGGGAACTGAGATTTTTCTCTTTAAACAAATGGCCTTTTTCATGTACTGGGAATTTAGCTCCATCGCCCATCCAAATCCTTTATATGAGACAAATGAAATAGCTCAAGTATCCATTCTCTGGTTTGCTCTAACACAAAACAGGTATTTTTTTAAGCATGCATGCAAAACTTAAATTCATAAAAATATCAGAAGAAAACCATTAATAATTTAGAATTTATTAAAAAATACATACCTCTTTTGTTTGGTTTGCTTTAGCAACAGCGTCCTGTGTCAGACGCTCCTGGACCAAAATGCGAATTGCCTGAGAAAACCAAAAATGCCCTATTAGCTGTTATCTTTCCTTTTCTGTGATAGAGAATAAGGATGCCCAGTTTAATGAAGTTAGCATTACTTAGTTCATTAACTACACAATTAATAAAATGGCTATTTGTAATAAAAGTTATCACTTTTAATGAAGTAGTAATGCTCACATTTTTTTTGAATAGGTAATGCGTATACATGGTAAATAGGTTCCATCCTACATTTGACCTCAGACATCCCTCTAAAAGACAGTCATTGTTACCATGTTCTTGAATATCCTTACAAGAACTCAAATTACAATCATGCTCAGGCATATGTAGACAGACAGCCTTTGGCACAAAGGACAGCATATCCTATACACAGTCCTTGGTGTTTTCAATATAGCAAAGTGTTTTCAAGTCTCCATCACTAAGGTAATAGCAGATAAGTGGATGCATGTACCTGTACACACCTAAATAGTTAAGAATTTAAATGGTCAACATTTCCTTTTAAATAATGACAGAAACCAAATGCTACATTTGAAGAATATTAAACCAGTCTAACAATAATTGCAAATACAGTAAACAGTCCAGCTGCCAGCTAATGAATGGATTCTCAAACCTAACAAATCTTTGAAGATAGAGCCCATACTGTCATGTACTGTTTAAATGCTTCTTAAAAGTAACACAAAGGGGGCCTCCCCTAGTGGCGCAGTGGTTGAGCGCTGGGCTGCGAAGCTGCCCACAGCCTCTGCAGTGCTGGTTCGATCCCCAGCCACCAGGGAGGGTCCCACATGCAATGAATGGATTCTCAAACCCAACAAACCTTTTAAGATAGAGCCCATACTGTCATGTACTGCTTAAATGCTTCTTAAAGGTAACACAAAGGGGTCCCCCCCAGTGGCGCAGTGGCTGAGCGCTGGGCTGCGAAGCTGCCCACAGCCTCTGCAGTGCTGGCTCGATCCCCAGCCACCAGGGAGGGTCCCACATGTAATGAATGGATTCTCAAACCTATCTTTTTAGAGCCCATACTGTCATGTACTGCTTAAATGCTTCTTAAAGGTAACACAAAGGGGCCCCCCCTCAGTGGCGCAGTGGTTGAGCGCTGGGCTGCGAAGCTGCCCACAGCATCCGCAGCGCTGGTTCGATCCCCAGCCACCAGGGAGGGTCCCACATGGTGAGCAGACCTCCACTGCTCCCCTCAGCAGCGCACCCTGTTGGCCTGCCTGTCCTGTTCCACGCCCTGGCTCTGGTAAATTTTCTCACCCTCCAGCGCGTCTGACTGTACCCAGTGCTCATATAAATAAATAAATCTTTAAAAAAAAAAACCCACAAAGGACCAACATGCAGTTATGATTAGAATTCTACAAAGCTTTTTGGTTACAGCTGATTTATAATTTTTCCACAGGTTTTTAAAGTCTAAGGAAAGCACCCCAAATATGGGATGCATTGTCTGTTTCTCCTCTCAGTTTATGATGAAAGCTGACATGGCCACTGAAGAACTGTTCCAAAGCAATTTACATGATTGCCTCAGTAGGGAACAAGTTTTTAAAAGAACTAAAGTTCACCAAAAACAAATTTTTGTCTCTTGAAATCCATTCTGAGGTGAGGAAATCCAAGTTAACATTTAGATTCAGCATAGAGAAGTCCTTACACTTTGTGAAATTGCCACCTATTCACCACTACTCTTATGAGTAAATTTAATTATTCAACTTACTACAAAGGTAATTTACATGCACAGGTGTAGTAAAAAGCTCTTTAAATTTCATAAACTCAATAATTTCTGAAATAATCTCCAAGTCTGATATCTTAACTCTCCCACCACCCCCATCCCACCACTGTCAATCAATGTGTTAAGTCCTCTGAAATATTAGTATATATTTCCTCAGAATTATGAGACCTCTTTCAGACCACTGGGTTCCCTGAAGTAAACAAATGTGAGTGGCCTACCCAGAATGGGGGACTTTGAAGCCAGAAACAATCATTCTTCAAAGAGATTTTGGGGTATATCTTTTTGACCTAATTCACCATTACTAATTTGGCATTTCCAGACCACAAATCTTTAAAAGGACTGATTAAACACTAGTAAAGTGATACAAAAGAATGGATGAGATCAGAGTGGCTAGATCAAAATCCCGGCTCTTAACATTTTCAAATAATGCCATCTTGAACATTATCTACTCTGAATCTCAATTATTTCATATACACATTGGGGAAAAAAAAAAAAAAAGACTACCTCCTACCTCTGGGATTACTGGGAGGGATGAAAGATCATCTTTGCAAAGTATTTAGTATAGTGGGAGGCACACAGTAAGTATTCTGATATCACTTATCAAAACAGATAAAATTTGCTTTATGTACCACATAGTAATTCAATCATAAATTCAAATATCAAACAGGCTAATTTTTAGAAAACAGGTGTTTAGGAAAAAAAAAATAGACAAAGAGCTTATGTCAAATCAAGAGTATGAAACTGACCTTAAGCATTACCAGGTAATCATCATGACGTTGAATCTGAAGGAGGTTAGCCAAAGCCATCACACCAGCCTTAAAATCTGGATTAGTTACTATAAAAGATTAAAAATAGAAACTTACAGCTACAAAAACATGATTATATATATATACACAAAAATATTTAGATTTCTAGTAACAATAGATCTCTTAATATTTAAAACTCTGAACAAGGCCTGTGGACCGACCATCAATCTACGTCTTGCAGCAGGGGAGGAGTGAGTGATGAGAGCAGGGGACAGACGCACTCAGGGGAGCCGGGTGGTGGTAAGAGGGTGAATTATTGGTGGGAGGGCCACACTTACGGGGAACAATAACTATAGACAAATGACCCACGACGTAAGAAAAAAAAATTAAACTGAACAAAAGTAGCGTAGGTAATAGTCAATTAGGTAAAGTGATGAAATAAATGGTTTCATTAATCAGCCACACCGAACAATCCAATGAAAGACCATATTAACTCACACTAGGTTTTCCTTTAACATTTTGCAAAGCCCATTTATGTAGCACTTTTAATTAACATTTCTTCCCAGAGCTATTAAAACATAGAACCTGTCAATGAACAGTTTTCCCAAAACCTTTCCTCTAAGCAGTAGTTTTGCAGTGTCCAAGCAGCTTATTAATTCATAAGGACAACTCACAAATTATAGGTCACAATCAGTGAGTGAAAGACTATTTAACATATTATTACAACCTAAGTAATTAGTCTTCATACTTTCAGAAGAATTACTTTCTGAAAGACATCTGGGAATTAAAATAATGAAAAAATTTTACCACTGTCTCAGTGTAATCAGTGTAAAAATATTTTAAGCTCACAAGAAGGCAAACAATTACCACCATGATTAAATACAAATCAAAACCCTAAATAGCTATAAGCAGATCAAAGAACAGCATTTTAACATTCAGCTACGCAACTATAAGACGAAGGAGAAAGTATGTTGTAACTGGCAGTCCACATGAAACATTCTTGAATTACTAAAATTAAGTAAACCCAGACTTGTTTTTTAGAATGTAAAAAAGCATTTAGGGAAAAAATGTGTTGATCAATTTTATGCATTAAATACATACCATCCAAATTGATCAATGGCTCTGCATTTTTAGCTGCGTTATCAGCATTTTTTGTATTATCAGGTGATGAGTCCTTGTATTTTTCAGCTGTAGAAATAGGTAAAAATACAATTTGTAGAACTTTAAACAAACGCTGTTTATTTACTGACTTTGAGCCAAACTGTATTATAAGCATAAGACAACTCATCCAATTAAAATTACTTCCTGGGCCTCCCCTGGCGGTGCAGGGGTTGAGCGCTGGGCTGCAAAGCTGCCCGCAGCCTCTGCAGCACCGGTTTGATTCCCAGGCGCTGGCAAGGGTCCCATATGGCGCGCAGACCTCTCCTGCTGCCCACTGCTCCCCTTAGCAGTGAATTTCGTCACTCTGCCTGTTCTGCTCTCCGCTCTGGCTCTGGTGAATTCTCTCACCCTCCCGAGATTCTGACTGTACCCAGTGCTTGTATAAATAAATAAATCTTTAAAAAAATAAATAATATTATTTCCTGGTGGTGCAAGGGGTTAGGATGCAACCTGTGAGGCTGTTCGCAGCCACTGCAGCACGAGTTCAATCCCCGGCCAAAGAGATACCCACATGGCACAGCAGAACTCTCCTGTCTCGCCCACTGCTCCCCTCGGCAGTGAATTTCGGTCAGTCTGTCTGTTCTGTTCCCCACTCTGTTTCTGGTGAATCCTCTCACCCCCCACACCTCTGGCCTGTACCCCAGTTCTTGTATGCATAAATAAATAAATCTTAAAAAAAATTATTTCTTGCTATGAAAAACAGAAGACTATGTGATTATAGCTTGATTAAGCTAAAACAATTACTGGAATACCTGATACAAATATTTTTCATTAACATTTCTGAAGTAATATATTTCAGATACTCTTTAAAGTGTAGGAGAAAAAGTCTGCTTTTACTGCTTGGGGCAAAAGAACAGAAGAAGGGCAAGTATAAGTTATATGAAATTAAATACAAACTCACTAAAAAGTAAGTTTCTGTCCGCCACATCTTTTCAATAGAACCTAAAATCTTCTTTTTTAAGAGACAAATCAGTAATTTAGAGCTTTTATGATTTCTGCCATAAGGTTTCTGAAACTTAAGCCTGAAGTACCAGCAAAAAATAGCTGGGGCCTCCCCTGGTGGCGCAGCGGTTGAGCGCTGGGCTGCGAGGCTGCCCACAGCCTCTGCAGCGCCGGTTCGTTCCCCGGCGGGCCACTGGCGAGAGTTCCACAAAAAAAAAAAAAAAAAAAAAAAAAAAAAAAAGGGGCTGACTGCTGCTCCGTATTAGTATATATAAGTATTCATGTACTGCATTTGCCAAACATTCATTAAAGTTGATAAGCACATCTACTGTCTACAGGAAACTGTGTCAGGTACTATTGCAGGCAGAATTATGACTGGACTCCCTCCCACAAGAGATGATCATGTCCCAATTCCTGGAATCTATGAATATGTCACCTTACATAGCAAAGGGTAGATGTAATTAAATAGGGACCCTGAAATAGGAGCATTATCCTGGATTTCCTAGGTGGGCCGAAAGCACAGCACACTTATTCAAGGGAGGAAGATGAGACAGAGAAGAGGATGTGAGAATG